CTGCTTGTACTTTTTTTGAAACCACAGTCACAATCTAATCATAAACGACAGCATGTTTTACGTCTCTTACTTATGATAACCCCAAAATTTTCAGAGAAATAAAATTTATTAACTCTAATGTCTTGCTGATATCATTTGGCTATATATGAATAGACCAACCATAAAGAGAAAAATCGATGAATAATTCATTGAAAATGTTGATGTTGAGGAGAAAAATTTAGTCGTAAATTCAACACCTAAATCGTCAAGTTATCGAGATTTCTTACATCACTATTATAAAAGAATTATCTCAAGAACATGTAAACACTTATATTGAACTTAAAAACCAGTTGTTATCAGTAATGCTGTAAGAGACAATTTTATATTTGACTATATATGTACTTATCTCTGATACTTTTTAATATATGGAACAAAATCTCTTATTATTTATGATCGTTTTCACTCGACAAGCTGCTGCACCTGCTATGTGCCTGGAAATCTTGGCCTCTGTGTGTGATGCACACGTTATCCTTGACATTATTCGGCAGCAATTTAGCTTCGGGCTATGAGTATGTTCATAAAACAGCCACACCCGTTGAATAACGTGTCTCTGCATTCTATCCGGAGTACTCTTGACTCTGCATTAGTATGAACAATTTCAAGGGAAATATTATTTTAACGGTCAAAAATAAAATAATCAACTACGTCTCCGAGGAAGTATTTAAAATATGCAATCGACGACAAAAAGAATACACAGGTAAGGTGTAATCTTGAAAACTAGGGTTGAAACTTCCGCTTGGAGGAAATTACACCTAAAAGGAAGAAACTCATCGATGCGTAGTAGCATTCGTAGTTCCGACAGATGGCTTCATTCATGATTTAAGTTACAGTCATTGATTACATTTTTAATTTCATTTAAATTTATTTAAAAATTGTTTTAAAAAAATTATGCAAGCAAAATTTTCTTTCAAATAAATTTATTAATTATTTCAATGTTTTAGAAAATAATAAAATTTGAATAGAGTTTGAATAAAAAATTGTTCTCTGATCGAAAAGTGCATGAACTGAATATCAAACTGATATTCGTTCTATCTGGGTGCACTTTAGGACATAGCAGACATCCGGTTTTGATTTCCGTATCAGTAAACAGTAAACAGGTGAACGTTAATACCTTTCTTGGACATTACCAGCTATTTCCGTTGCTTCCTTGATAAATTTGCATTCAGGAAATCCCGTCAGCTCGTCACGACTCTTCTGATATACGTAAAAGGTTATCGGGCTTTCTAAAGTATCCATGTACGTATCAATAATAAAAATGTGTAAAGCTAGTTTATGAAAAAAGTTTATTAAAAATAATGTTGTATAATTGAATGAATGAAAAATGAATTACAAAATGATGCTGTATATAATAGTGTTGCATCTATAGTATACACTCATATATATTTCAGTATACATTTGCCAAGACATTTAACTACCTTGCAATTAAATTGCCTCAAGCGATTATCGTAAAATGGTTACTTTCCCCCTTTATTTATGAATACTTTAGTCAATGCCACAACTTGAGCAAATTTATACACACTTTTTTAATTAATTAATATTCGTTGCTATTACTGAGATGAGAAGAAAATGATGTTCTTTAATTTCGTATGTCTGTAGAATTGAGATGAGTAAAAATGAAAGACCTAGTTGATGATAATAATTAAAAGGTCATTCACCATATCATTCACGTAGAGAAACATCTGCCAGTTGAAAATATTTTCAATAAAATTTAATAAAAAAATCATTTATTTTTATACTTAATTTAATGAAGACCCTCTTGCTGCCAAGCCGGTCACTGCACCTTACATTTCAGTCGAGGATCTTTGAAATACGACTTAAAAGAGGATGAACAAGTGGAAGTATGAAAAGAACGGAAGGAAAGAAACTGTTCACGACTGTTAACTAATGAAAGTGATTAATTACCTGCTAAAGTTACCGCTGCTGACCTCGCAGGCTAACTTTACGATACTTATCGCTGTGATTTACATCAGAGTTTCGACGATGACAAGACACAAAGTCCCATCGACCACACGAATACTAAGTTACTTAGACAATAATGATAATCATGACATTAATCGTAATTTATCTTCAACAAATTGTCGTGTATATGATCACATGATATTGCTATTTATTTACATCCCTCTCTTAATATAATCCCTGCAAAAAAACTTGCATTTATTAACTTCTATAAGAACATATAAATAACGACTCTGTACATCCCTTGATAATAATTCATCATCAATAATCTGTAAATGTTTGAACATTTTTTTAATTAGATTACGCTTATATCGGTTATGTATTAGGCTTTTTTTTTTATTCAAGGAGTGTTTTGGGTCTTTTTTAAGCCTATTCAGTTTTACTGGAGAATAAAATAAATCAATGATAAATTAATAGCTGGGTAATTTGGTTATTTTTCGACATTTCTCAAAATGATTTAAATAAAAGATTTGAAGAAGAAAATATCTTATGATTATCTGTCATTAAAAAAATTTCAAAGATTGGGCAAGGGCAAAATTATTACATAATTTAGTGGGAATGCCAGAATGCTGAGAATTTTCCTTAGGGGTTATTTTCTTCCGCCCGGTAGCATTATGATGTTTAAAGAAAGAAGGAAGATTGCGTGCACCCACGCGGAGAATGCTAGCCTAGGGCTCTGTGAACTGTGAGAGAATCTGGAGATGAAAGGTCTCTTTCTGGAAAGAAGAACAAGGAAGAACAGCGCATTAACTTATTTACATTTATATTCTCTTCGTGTGTAACATCGATCGAGTGTCGATCACGTGTCTCACGAGAAAATGCTTTGAGGAGAAGGAAAAAAATATCTTCAATGTTATATTAACCCTCTCTACTTTTTGGAATACATTATATACTTGGTAAAAGAACCCTAGGGCATCTCACAACTAACAAATCCTATCCAAGGTTTCCTTATATGTTTCATGGTCACGCCATCACCAGCAAATATATAAGTGTTTCTAATTTTTTATCATTTTTGATATAACAGCTCACTATCTTTCATTATCGGACGTTATCCTGATTTATTCAGTTATCACGACAGGTTGTTTGTCATCAAGAAGGAGGGACAACGCAGAAATAAAAATGTAGAGAGTCTGGTTGATGGTAGGAATGATCCTTTACCAAATGTATGTGATGAGTAAATACGTGGTAAGAGAGGTTGTTTCAATGTTTGACTTTCCCAGACGTGAGTTACGTCTTAAGCTGTATATATCTACCTGCACTCGTAAGTTCTGAGGTCTTTCGAATGTTGTCTCAGCCGGGTAAGATATGACAGCACAAGTTCAACCCTAGAGATAACATTTGTCTTGCTCCCCAAGATTACACTCCTCTAATCGTCATCATCGACTTCTACATCAATATTGGAAAATTAAATAAATCAATAAAAAGAGCTACAGACCTTGTGAATTTATTTGGGATTTTATTGGAATAGCAACTGCTTATATCCTATCTTATTTTTTTTATTAACTCTCCATACCTACACTGTCCTAAGAATTCCTCTCGACGTTGTGTCCAGGAATAAGCCGGCTTCTCACGCCTGGTATTTTCAACTTATGTTCGAGCAATGCCAACACATAAGATAAGCTTTATTTCTAATGACACGGAAAAATATTTTCTGTTATCGCAACAGATCGAAAGACTATTTTTGCAAGTTGTCTTTTTTTTTTGGTTTTAGAGAAAAATCAATAGTAGGTGCAACAAATAGACTACGTGACTCTTCGAGTTATCTTATTGCAACATTTAGCACTTTATCTGTGACAATTCTTTGAGTTGGTTGCATTCATCATTAAAATTTATCTTCAATCATTTATTAAAATATTTATATGTATTTTAACACTTTAAATATTTTTACCTAACAAACCTTCTAGTAGGATCAAATTTTTCTTTTACGTCTGGCATATAACAGGTGCGACTATCGCAATTGTTTAATGGTTTCTTTTCTTTCATATTTGCTCTACGTGATGTCGCAGTCCTCGTACGTGACGGTTGGTCTTTAAAAAAACATTTGTGCACGGTAAAATGTTGAATAAAATTCTCTTATGTGTCTGAGCACGAAGTCTTACTCCATAGGGAAAATTGAAGAATGGAGGATGGATTTTATTTACAGAGGAAACCACTCAACCATGATATGTGCAGTTTTGAAGTTAATCATAGCCATTAAAAAATGGTCATTGAGGTTAAAAAACAACTGCTTCTTTTTTGATTGTTCTATTTATGTTTCCCAGTATCTATAAGACTTCTAGAGAATATTTTCATCACTATTTTTAGCAAGAAGATTTAATAAAAAATCGTCACTGACAAAAAAACAACTCAACCTATGAAACCTAAAGCTATTAAATTTTTTTTATCAATTTACTGAAGAATTTTTATATCTGCAGTGATAGAAGATAATCCAGTAGCTGTTTATTTAAAAAATCTATTGGATATCAAGGTATGACATTTGACAGATTGATTTCACTCAGTTGGACAAATTGTAGTATACAATTAATTAATTTTTTCCTGTGATAATAATTTATATAATGTTGATGTAGTTTATGTATTTATAGAACTCATTATTTTCCTATTTATCAAACCATAATTTCCTATTGTGAAAAGAATAAAAGAAAAAAAAGAACAAAATGAAACTCAGACTATGTACATGCACACCCTACAGTGGTTGTGGTTTTTAAAGACCTAGCGTGCGATGTTGATTAATGAATAAGAGGCACACGAACGTAGAAATCGTGTTGTAATTGAGAAAACCACGAGGTCTAATATATTAAATGAGAGCAGAAGGGAACGAGGATGCTCAGAATACCTTGAAGGACGGAGGATCCCAGGGTAAAATTATTAATGAGGACGCGTGGCATGACGACGATAGAAAACCACTAGAGTGAAGATCGCATGTTTATGCTCATGAATTTGAAGGTCTACTTATATTTTTTATTGGTTGATTATGGAATTAATAATGATTTTGACAATTAAATAAATAAATTCTTAAATAAAATGTCTATAAGACTTAAAAATAATCATTATAAAATATTACAGGTATAAATGATCGTCATGGTAAGGGTCCTGAATGACGACATTCTGGTGGTAAATCCTTCATATCTTTATTGCGAGGACACAGAACTGGATGTGCTATCGCTGAGAGATTAAAAATCATCATGACAAGAATAAATGCCAACGTTAAGACTCTCTTTAATCCAATCATTATTGAAAACTGTATCTTCAACTGAAAATTAATTGACAATAATTTTTTTTTTTTAGTTTACAAGGATAAGAAAAAATCTACCAACTACTTTTCATTATTAAAATAAAAAAAACTTACAATGACAAGTGTAGAGATGAATAAAAGTATTGAAAGTTTTATTTTCAGTGTTTAATTATTTTTTACTCACGTATTTATACTGATGAATATGGACTTATCTTCTGTTTCCTTATCAATAGTAATTAATTCATCATATTTCAATCATGCTCTAATTTGCAAATTTTTGAATAAATCATCAATAATAACTGATTAATTAATTGGTTAATTAACAGAATAAGTGGGAATAATAAGGACGGTAAATTTGACACACATTTCGTGCAAATTCTAAAATATTTATTTTAGAAGCAGTGAGTTCATGCGACTGAATCGGACAAGTTTGAGTAGGAAACAAAGATAATACGTGAAAAAAAAAAAGAGAGAAAGAGGTGAGTAAAACAAAATCGTTGTGAATGCGTGTATCGGAGTGTATCGTGGTGGATGCGTTGAGGGGTCTGAGCGAGATAATGACTGGAGCTTCCTGTATGCATGAGCCAACAACTAACACACTCATCAACGACACAGAGAAACCGACCAGAGGACGACCCTACGCAGGATATCCGACATTTAATCTGATTTCTGGATTACGCGTCAGCGACTAACGATAACAAAGCACTTGCCTTCTCACTTATTTCAACCCCTCGTCAAAAACGGATACTCATCTGAAAAAGGACATTTATTATTTCACCCTCTCGAGTCACGGTGAGTTTTTTTTTAATCTGTTAAAGTCTATTTTTTATGATTTTAATTATCGTCAATGAAATGCATCTAATATTCGAAAGTATATGATACTTTCAACCAATGTCTCACGAGCTCAGATTTATGTATATAAAAGTATACGGTTGCTGCCCATGACACGTTCACATGACCCTTTTCCACGGCGTCACAATTCTCATGAAACATTATATCTTGCAAATGAAAGACGTGTCGTTGTGATACTTCCGGCGAATAGCTCATGTCCGAGCAGAATTATATTAAAGAAAATTCGTAAGACATATTTAACTACCCATTAAGAAGTTATTGTAATGGAGTCGATTTGTAATTTTGTCATTTTTTACATTTTTAGACTCGAAAGCATATTAGAAGGTTTAAAAATAGATTCGACTTTTTATTTCGATGATTAATGTTATTGAAGATTGAGCTGATCGTTATAAATAACTTTATGTGAGTAAATAATTGTATATTGTTTATAACTATAGCTATCGTTATTGATAGAAAAAAAATTAAAGGATGACATAATTACAGTATTTTTTAAATTTATTTTTCATTTTTGCAGGATAAATTGACTTTAATTCCTCTATAATAACTATTCCATTGATACGTTTGGAGTTTATTTTAACAATAATCAAATTAAAATCTTAAATAATAATGACTTCTGAATAAACATTCTATACTCGATTAATTCATTAATCACTTTAATGAGTCAAGTAATACGATTATTTCATCATGTTGGATAAATTATTCCAATTGAATTTCTTTACGCAGAAAATTCACACTCGATATTATATTTAGATGTATTTTCTCTGGTGTCATTAAGAAGTTATCTTTTATATGATTTGAAATTCTTCCGGTCGCTTTGGTTGAATGGAACTAAAAAAGTCGTGAAAAAATATCAGCAAGGAAATCTTGGTAATTTCTTGTAATGTAACATATTAACATATCTTGTATAAATAAATGTGGGATCAAAGTACAGATCTTACGACATTATCAAACTAAAAGCAATTGATAGAAAAAACCAATAAACCATAAGAAGAATTTTTAAATCATTATCTGTTTGATTGCCATTCCCCCCTGTGGTTTATGTGTTGCAAGCGGTTAAGTGATAAGACAAATGGAACTTGAACACAATCACGAGACTTGTGGCAATAATAAACTGCATATATTTCTTCCTTAGAAATTATCTCCCCCGCGAATGCAACAGAGTGCAAAGAGATCATCGAAATCAATCAAGTGTAAACATAAATCGTTCATAACAACTTAATTAGTACGAGATATTGTTTCTAATAATTTTCCACTGCTACAAAGAAAAAAATCTTTCTCTCAGATATATGTATCTATGTGTAGACATAGGTGATATTACTTCAACATAATTAAGGACATAAATTGAAAGGTCGATAATTAGTTTCTCTATTTTTTTAACATTTACCAAAGAATAAGACAAATAAATTTACTAAACACCATGATGAGCACGTGTTCTTCAGCAACGTTTAGGGACATCGATCTTTCGTCCGAGTGATAAATTTAAATATTTTTTCGTATTTGCGTTATTCATTACTACTAAGGTAGAGCATGAGTTTGCTCTCATGTTAGAAAACAAGATGATAAAATATTAAATAAGTTTAAGTCAAATTATCATCCTTTAGGTACATGGAGATTCTCTTAGAACTTGAACGAAAAAAATGATAAAAAGATTAAATACAGCTAAAAATCAATTTGAAAGCATGTGCCAAATAATTTGAGCCTTGTTCTTTTAAAAATACATTTATGAATCTGGTTTATTTCCAGGTGTAAGTCGACCCTCGTTCTAGTTGCTGTAACTTCTAGGAAGGTTAAGTAACCAGTATGGCACGTACTCACTAACTATTCGACTCAACTCCTACATAAAACAATTTATTGAACTTATCGATGGCGTCAGAAGTTGAGCCTTGTGCTTGGTCTGTCAACTTGGTACTGAGAAAAATGATTACAACCCAAGCAATACAAGTGTAATTGTTATTATGTAAATTGTAATGAAATTATTTTTATTAATAATGATTACATTCATTAACTTTTAATTTAAAAAAGTCATTTTCATTTTAAAATTATTATTAAATTATTTATACAGTAAACATGTTATTTATTATTTATTATAACGTTTTTTTAATGAATATCAATGTCTGTAAGGCAGAAACATTGACAAATGCATCTTGCATTCCACATGTCCTTAACGACAACGACCCCAGTCTGTTTAATTTGCGCAGTGGCTTGAATCCAGACGCCTGAGGTGGTAATTTGCTTTCGTGCTGGGTGTATAACGTCAGGTAGGTTCATCTTACTGCGAAATTTAATGCCAACGCGTAGTGGTGGCTGCAGCTATCATCATGCCACTGTGAGAATAAAGCCAAGTCGAGGATCATCACGATGAGGTGACTTTGCTAAAATTATTCTTCAACTTCTTCGCACATTTCATCTCATCTTGTCTTATTCCTTCACTCCTCTCTGAGATATTGAGGCTGAAATTAAACCTGTAACAAAAAAAAAAACTAACAATACTTAAAAATGTCAATTAAAAATTTCTTTTAAAAATAATATTACTTTCTTTTCACGTTTACTTTGTTGTTTAAAATTTTGTAAAACTTTTCTTTTGGAAAACAACATTCATTGTGCACACTTTTAATTTTAGTTGTGTTTTATTTTTTCCGTGACAATCAATTCAATAAAGAACACACGTGCGACATTCGATCAGCTACAAGTAAGCTTCAATCATGTGTAAAAACAAGAAATTTTTGCTTTTAATTACAAGTTGGTACCAGATGCCTTGTGGAATGCAAAAAATATATTTATGTCGTAATTGTCGGCAGAATCAATAAAAGAAATTTATCTCCGTGTCTTCAAGTATGTCGTTTAAATCAACAAGTATTATGTGAAGATGTTGCAACAAACAATTTGTAAATTTTTACAAATATTTTATTAACATTTAATGCTTTCATTATATTTTTATATTATTGAAGAGAAAAATTTTCCTGCTATGTTGAGATGATGATGAAGACCACGTCTTATGTTCATGATCACATGTTTGTTCTTAACCATCACCTGCAACCGATTTCTTTTTTCGCGGTGGGTGACTCTGCACACCTTGTAAAAATCTCGCCAGAATATCATCCATATATGTTTCGTTTCATATACCGAACTGATGAGAAGTATTTTCGAACGATATCAGTGTTCAGGGGAGAATCAAAGAGAACTGGTGTACCAGCTGCTGGTGTCACATACACTTATCTTACTCCTCCGAGTTCACATGTGCTTTTTCATCTGTCACTCTCTCCGTGATTTAAATGGAAAAAATCCGAGATCCTTGGCCGCATTTATTCCTCCCCTTCAAGAGAAAGTGTATGTCTTTGATCATATAAATATTTATTTGCAAATCATGTTCGAGTGAAGAACGAAATAAACAATTGATAGATGACAAGTGAATTAATTGATCCAGCACACGCGCATTTAAATACATAAAATATTTTTATTTGAAAAAAGAAAAGAATATTTTCACAGTTAATGTGAATACATACGTGAATATCGTTAGAGTCTGATCCATACGCAACTCGACTTGTAGTTTACGAACACGGTAGCGATATGCATATAAACGTGAGACAAAGAAAGAGAGTATGTTAATGAAATTCAACAGCAGCAAACAGCAGTCGGGCGATCGTGGCTACAGCAACCACCAGTAGAAATAATTCCCTCACGAGAAGACTCGTGTTACTCTGCGTGGTCTCTCGCCATCATGACCCCGGGGTGTAAGTATATGTACATGTATACACATAGCCGACGAATTATCACAGGAAATAATTTTTAGCCGATGGTATAATCAAAACGAGAAATAAAATTCCGGCAAAAATCGCTTGATCTTAGCTGAAGGGCATGGGGTTTTGTGCACGATCGAAAAAGGAATAAAAAGTCATTGAATAAGTAAGAAAAAACGATCGCGAGCGATTTATTACACCTTTCGGACGTGGTCAGGGTGGACAGAGGCATCGGTCTCTGCCGTCGAGATATCTTATCTGAGAGACACCGCTTCGCGTATACGTACTTCTCTGCCATGAGGCTTGATACTACGTAGCGATAAGCCAGTTTACAGGTTAGTATCCAATGTACAATTTAAAAATAAAAGCGCCCCCGCTTATTTTATTTTTGTGTCTTCTGTTAACTTATTAGCGTACATATAAAACCCTTAAGCTTTTTCTTTCGCGTAATGAGAGCTCTGTCTCATTATTGCGAACGGCTTTATCGAGCGGCACTTTAATTACAAAGATTTCTCTAAAGACAGAAATATCAACACACAATCCCTAGGACATCTTTAAATGTTGTAATTAAATCCATGATTAATTCTTTTTTATACCAATTTCACCACCTCAAATCGTTTATTTTTTTTCTTTTTTTTTTAGTTTTCGTTCTGTAATCTTTGGTGCCCGCGGGTGGCGAAAGATTTGAGAGTCGAAATATAACGAGTTAGTAGGCTCTTGCATATACTCGCGGTTGTTGGCAACGACCCGAGGAAAAGAGCGATAAATTAAGGAAGCTTATCGAGGATCGTTTGCGCAGAAGCTCTTGTGTTGCTGCCTTGCTTGCACATGCAGATATACATCCGCCTTTCAGTTCACGACTTCGTCGTCTCGGATAGTCTGGACATGGTTTTGTTTGGTTCGTTTTCAAAAAAATTACGACGTATCGGTTTTTATGTCCTCTTATTTATGGGACCATAAAATCCACTTGCCGCGGCAATCCGCCAAGTGCATCGCAGACGATATGTGACGGCGCTACGGGTGGGTTACAATCAAGGGGTGGGTAAAACAGGTCACCAAGTGATAATATTCATTTCTTTACATGTTCTTTATGAGCTCGTAATTGTTGTCAACATACGGCTATGCTATTTTTATTTTCACTTGATTTAAATTGTACTCAATAAACCTGTAATTTGTTGTTTACATTTGATTCGTTCAAAAATTACTTTAATCTTTTTTTAATTTAAAATACTGCCAACATGATTTATATTAATTACTGTTGATCTGTTAAACAAAATATAATTGGAAAAAAATATTCCCACACTTAACAGTCATTTTTAATTAAGTTTAATTGAATTTCTGCGTAAATTGTAAATCTTTAACACCCACAAGGCACTTTGACCACACGGCTATACCAAAAACAGCGACCTAGATTACAAATCACAGGCGTCTGGCCGACCGGACCAATGCCATTTCGATTGTGGGTTTTCGAAGAAGAGTAGTAAAGCCTTTTTGCTATGGTGGCCACAGATTTATGCGTAGTAAAGCTCCGAAAGCATTTACTCTCAGCTAAGAGACGATAAACGAAAAGGTTTCTCTCATTCTCGCTATATAAGTTAACCAACCCCTCCTCATCTTCGCTCCACAAGCAACGATGAGGATTAGAGTTGGGCCGGTACTTACGGATAGTTACCGCGGCATCGTAAATTATTGCCCACGCTCCAGGAGTTTTAGTGCTATTCTCGCACGAGGTTCTCTCACAACTTTGCCAATATAATAGCTATCTATCCTATTTCACCAACTTCTGATGACTTTCCAGGATCATCAAACTTTGTGACAATTACCATGCCACCTACCACTGCTACTTTATTGTCGTCGATTAAACTTACCAACAGTTTAACTTGTTTGAAATAATTTACTAATTATTTATTTAATTAAAATAATTACATTACTCCTCAAGGAAAATAACATTTAGGTATTTGTTTATAAATAATCTTCTAAAAGATATCAATTCTTCTTACAATTAATGTCGTAGTTTAATTCTAATGCAAATTTTAACGTTAATTAGTAAGATATAATATAAATGCAAATGTCATGTAGCTCTAATGTAAATAATATTATCCTGGGAACGTGAAATTTTTTTCGAAAGCGAATGATATTTTTTTGAGCTTATAAAGATGAAACATCTCGTAGAGAAGTAGATTCTAATTGACTTGAAAGAAAATAAGTAGGAGTATATCCTACTACTGTATAAACCGGACGAGGAGCATGCAGAAGGTCGTGGCGGCAACGTAGTATAGACGTGAGAAGCTCCGAGTTCCCACAGGTGTCGTAGAAACTGGGAGGTTCCATGACCTTGATGTTGAAGACGCGTTTATGTCAATGATCCATGTGAATACAGGTGATATAATGATTTCAGCTTTTTCTTTATATGATTAGTGACCTTCCAAAAAAATATATGGTCAGGTTTGAAAACATTATTTTTATATTATTATGTAAAATGCTGCATATATAAAGTCTGCAAAATAACGAAGACGATCTGCTGCAATTTTTATCTTCTCCAGTCGAAAGTTGTAGAACGAATACATTGAGCATCGTATCTGTAATGCGATCACTTTGGCACTGCATGGCGATAGCATCATTAACCCTCCCGCTCAAACAGGCACTGAATAAGATCTTGTTACGCGATATCTGACCCAAGCATGAGGTGCTCTTAGGGCTACCCTGGCCGCGCACAATACTCGCTAATTAAACGACCAAGAGGGAACGCCACCGCAGATACAAGTTCCCGATTACTTTGTTTTCATGGGGGCCATGCCACGATGTGACCAAATTAATTGGAAACCAAAAATAAATAGATGATCGCGCCCTCCTGTGGATTCAGAGCAGATGTCAAGTCTGCACCATCACAATTGCCCATGTCTTTCACTGCAATTTGCTAGACTCTTTTTTTTTGTATATATTTTTATTCTTGTATGCCATACATCTTCTTTCAAACTTGTAAAATACTTCCAACAGTCTATTTATCTGTTTCAGTCACTGTAAATTTTAGTGTTTTATTTTAAAACATTAAAAATGTTTTAAAATCGAGACAATGTTAATTAATTCAAAGATATTTTGATCGTGAGGATTTTTATATTTACTTGATACGGAGAGAGGAAGGAGAAAATTTTCATTATTATTTTTAAACTTCCCAGAAAATTTCCAAATACTGATATTCTTTTAACTTGCCACCAGCAATATTAAAAGATTAAAATACACAATTGTAGGGACAATTCCTAAATGATTCTGGTCTATTTTATTAT